GTCCTCAGGACGTGGTGAGCGCTGCTCCTAAAGTCTGCTGCATGCAGTGCTGTTGATGGCACGTCTGATGCCAGTCCGAGTTTTATTTTTCTTTAGGTTACTTTTGTTTGTTTGTGTGTTTTGTTCTCTGGAGATGCTTCTGGGAACCTCCCTTTCTGCAGTTTCAACACGATGGGTCTGGGGTTTCCCCATTCCTTTCCTTGGTGTTGCTTAGTCCTTTAAGCTGGGGGCTGTGTCTCCCACTGTGGGAAGTGTTCCTCCCCGAGGGATGCATTTCCTCACCCTCCCCATGTCCTGACTGTCCCTTCTCCCGGAATCCCACGCACCAGAGGCTGCACCCCCAGAGGGGTCCCCCATGCTGGCTTCTTTTCTCTCATGCTTTCTACCTCTTTGATGTTTTATGTTCTAAGTCTGAGAGGTTTCTCAACCTCACCCACAAGGCCCTCTGTTTAATTTTAAATATCAACACTATACCTTTTTTCGACACATTTTCTAACTGTTCCTTTTCAAAGCCTCTCGTCCTTGCTTTATGTCTGTAAACATGTTCTTGAACGTCTTTGAGTATATTTAGGATTTGATAAACGGTGGTTTCTGCTTCACAAGCTGTCTGCTTCCTCTGCGGTGTGACTTTGTGTTTGTTGTCCGGGGCTCAGATGTGGCAGTGGTCGTGGCGGCCGGGGAGGCTCCTCCGCCGCGGGGTCCGTGCCGAGTTAGAGGCACCTCACCCGTGCGGGGAAGGTGGCCCGGCACTCCAGGATGGGGGGTGGGTGACTGCCAGGGGCCGGGCCTCACCTGGGAAGGAGAAAGGAGGGAGCCCAGAAGCCACAATGAAAGTCATGTACGTGGGTGCCAGCAGCCCCCAGGAGTCCGGGTCCTTCCTGAGCGAGGTGTTAAGTTGTCCTAGAGATACACACTGGTGGCGTCCTGGGGAGAAGCAGAGCCTCTGGGCACTCTGCCTCGGGTTGGCCTGGGTGCCCCCGCCCCTGCGCACACATCCCTCCTTCACAGGGCCTACCCATGGGGACCAGGTGCTGTCCCCGCAGCCCCCACCTGGTCTGCCCTGCCTGGGGGCCAGCACACCTTCCTCTGCTTCCCGTTGCCTTCGCTTCGTCCCTCACCCGTTGTAAGCCCACGTCTCCCCACGTGGGTCTCAGGAGGGTTGAGGTTGGGGGTGGGCCCAGCCCGCCGTCTTGAACAGCAGCCACAGTTCTCTTGGAGTCTTGGCTTCCCCACAGCCACCCTGGCGCTTTGGAGTTCAGCAGACCTACAGTCCCCCCTATTCCATGGAGTGCTGGGTCCCCAAATTCTCTGACTGCACCCTAGTTCACCTGGACTGTTAGGCTGCCACAGCCCGGAAGCTCTCGGTTAAATTTCCCATTCACAGCAGGAATCCCAGTTGTGGCTTCCAGTCTCTCTTTAAAGGGAAAGTCTATTTTTTAAAAAATGTTTTATTTATTTCTGAGAGAGAGAGAGAAAGAGAGAGAGTGTGAGCAGGGGAGGGTCAGAGAGAGAGGGAGACACAGAATCCGAAACAGGCTCCAGACTCTGAGCTGTCAGCACAGAGCCCGACGCGGGGCTCGAACCCACAAACTGTGAGATCATGACCTGAGCTGAAGTCAGACGCTTAACTGATGGAGCCCCCTGGATACCCTTCCTTGGTGCAACCTTTGGGGCAGCACACAATGAACCCCTCTCTCTGGAAGGCCCCGCACGTAACTGTGAGCAGCTGTGGTCACTCAGTGGTGCCTCCCACTTCCGTCCATTAGTCCTCGTTGCACACTTTTTAGGCTGCACACAGCCCAGCACAACGGTCCTCACTTGAAACAGTAGGAAGGCCCCATTCTGACGACAGCTTGGCCGCCACTTCCGTCAGAGGGACTCCCCAGCGTGCTGGGGGCATGACTGTCCCAGGAGAGCCCCCGAGACAGGACTCGGACTCAGTATCGGCTTGTCCAAGGGGGGAGGTGACAGGGAGAATCAGCTTCGGGGAAAACTCATAGAAGACACAGTGCTGAGGAGCAGAGAGATTTATTTTTCACAGATCACGGGGCTTCCCTGGATGGGAGCGCACGGTGGGGATTCTAGCTCCTGGGGCAGCTCCAGCGCGGACTCAGGCCTGAGCCGAGGACAGGGAATCAGGAGCTGAGAGCTGGTACGTCCGGGTGATTGTCAGCCGCAGCTAGGGTGCCGCGGGGAACAGGCCCACAGCCAGGCCGGGTGCTGTGTGGACGACCCAGGCTCGGGTCAGGGGACCCTGGGGGTGACTCTCACCGCTTGCTTAGCGGGGATCAAGCCGCTTTGCTGTAAGATGGTCCGGTCGGGCCCAGAAGGGCTGCAGTGGACGACGTCTGCCTGGTAGGAGTGCACCGACCCCACGGAGAGGGGGGCCTAGGAGGCCGCGGGCCAGCAGCAGGTAGGGGTGCCGCAGGGGCCAGGCCTGAGCACCAGGGTGGGGCAGGAGGGCCAGCAGCACCCGGAGGACTGGCAGGAGGGGGCCACACACACAACGGGCTTGCAGCTCACGGGCACGTACACAACGGGCTTGCAGCTCACGGGCACGCAGCAGGCCGGCTGGCAGCCGGTGGAGCAGCTGGTGTGGCACATGGTGACGTGGGGCTGGAGTGGAGGAGTCAGGGGGGAGGACGGAGCCGGTCTGGAGCCTCCGTCCACAGGCGGCCTTTATACCTGGGCTGTGGCAACCTGGCAACAAGCCACACAGGTGCCTTCCTCCGGGCGCTGGGTGTTCTCCTCCTCTTCCTCCTGTGTGCGTCTCTTCCTGGAGGCTCTGCTGGAAGCGACTCGGTTCCGGAAACTCCGTCTGAGCCCCGAGGCTCACCGTGACCCCGCGGCCCTCTGATTTCTGGATTCAGAGCCCAGGTTGGATGGCAAAGGACGCTCCTCAGGGACAGGGGACTCCCCATCAGGATGTTCAAGGTCCTCCCCAAGTTCACATCCCCTGCCCTCTGTCCACACAGGCACCATCCTACTCGCCAGACCGGTGGGGGGTGGGGGGCCCCCCATGTTGATCTGGAAACTCAGCGATCCAGAAGGTCTTCCCAACTGGCCAGAGCCGAGCGGCCGGGCTCCTCATGGGGGAGAGCTGTGGCCGTGTTACTGCGATAATAGTGAGGAGGGGCCCCAGCTTCGTGCAGGCGCCGCGCTGAGCATCTCATGGGGACTGTCTCATAACTGACTAGTGAGCCACGCCTGCCACGTTCGGGGGTGGCTGGGGCCACACGTACACGGATGTGCGGTTAGGTTCGGAAGGACTGCGTGCCGTGTGCACGTTCTCACCGCTGCGGCGATGCAGCCGGGGTCTGAAGCCGGGTGGATTCACTCTGGAATCCGCGGTCCTCACCATTGTGCCAAATTACACTGGGGCGTTGGCGGTTCCTAGAGTCCCCAAAATCAGGTGGCACAGGACGTGTCTGTCACGTCGGGCCCCTGGAGAGCATGGCCCAGCTGTGTGGCCGCCTGGGAGGGGCAGGTGAGGGGCGAGCCGCCCGTGCCAGGCCCCTTCAGGGCAAGGGTGAGCCTCCAGAGATCCGGCCGCAGGGCGGGCGGGAGCTGGGCCTGTGCCCCCCCGCTGTCCTGCACGTCGGCCGCAGCACATCATTCTAGGGGCCTCTTGCAGGGCAGCCGTCTCCCGGAGCAGCGCCCCCCCCGAGGCTGCGTCCACGGGGCCCTCTGCACACGTGGCCCCCTCGAGACCGCGGGTGTGGACAGGGTGACTCCCCAGGAGTCCCGGCAACCAGTCAGACGCCATACGAGTCACTCCAAGCCTGCGGGCTCGGGGCTCCGGCCGTGGGCAGAGCTGAGAACACGACCGGCCTGGAGCCAGCCACGCGTCCGCACGTCAGCCCTCGTGGCTCCGTTGGCTCCGACCTCAGGCGAAAACCGTGCTCAGGACAAAGCGTTCGGGGCGGCCACGTGCGACCGCGTGTCCAGATGTGACTGAGTGAGGAGTCACCCGCTCCAGGCGGTCACGTGTCCTACGAGCCAACCACAGAGGCGCCCAAACGGGCCTCTTACGTGTGCCCCTCCCCGTGCTACCCCTTCCCGCCTGCTCCCTTCCCGGCCGCCGTCAGCTCTTCCCGTCATGTCTGGCTGCTGCCGACGCTTCTCTTAGCTGCCCTTGCTCTGAAATGGCTCATTTCGCCCCGTTTCTAAGGACTTGTGTTTTGCTGCCCGTGGAATTCTCCATCGGTGGTGCCTGTCCCCAGTACCTCAACCCCGCTGCCCCCGTTCTCTGCCCCGTTCTGATGAGAAGCAGTTTCCTTTCCTTCTTTTTTATTTTTATTTTTTAAATGTTTATTCATTTTTGAGAGAGAGTGTGAGTGGAGGAGGGGCAGAGAGAGGGAGACACAGAATCCGAAGCAGCTCCAGGCTCCAAGCTGTCAGCACAGAGCCCGACTCACGAGCTGAGAGATCATGACCTGAGCCAACGCTTAACTGAGCCAGTTCTCCATGACCTGCGGTCTCAGTCCACACTCGTGCTGTGGGCCAGTGGTCGCCATGTCCTTCCCGGGTGTCGGCCGCTGTGTGACCTCCAGCCTGAAGCATCTGGGACACTCAGACGGGAACCAGACCCTCCCGATCTCTGTGCATCTGCCCCAGAACCTTCTTGTTGGGCGGAGGCTGTTCAGGGCGGAGGCTGTTGGGGCCATCATCACACATGGAGAGAGATCAGGAGGCCCATGGTGTCAGAGTCACACAAATGTAGCCTGTGTGCAGTCATGAGGCGGGCCAGGCAGACAGCAGGCCAGGTTCCCAAGTGCAACACGAGCCTGGGCATCAGTCACGAGGGCCAAACTAATAAAACGTGCAACAGAAAACGAAGTTCTGGGAGACGGCCCGGAAGAAGCACAAACAAGGAAGACAACAATTGTGGCCCCTGTTGCCCGGACGCGCCTGGCCCGGGTATAAAGGCCGCCCCGGGAAGGAGCCTCCAGACATCACCGCCTCCTCCCTCCCAGACACCAGCCCAGCCCCACGCCAACATGTGCCACACCAGCTGCTCCCCGGGCTGCCAGGCACCCTGCTGTGTGCCCGTGAGCTGCAAGCCCGTGTGCGTGCCCTCCTGCCAGTCCTCCGGGTGCGTGCCCGTGAGCTGCAAGCCCGTGTGCGTGCCCTCCTGCCAGTCCTCCGGGTGCGTGCCCGTGAGCTGCAAGCCCGTGTGCGTGCCCTCCTGCCAGTCCTCCGGGTGCGTGCCCGTGAGCTGCAAGCCCGTGTGCGTGCCCTCCTGCCAGTCCTCCGGGTGCGTGCCCGTGAGCTGCAAGCCCGTGTGCGTGCCCTCCTGCCAGTCCTCCGGGTGCGTGCCCGTGAGCTGCAAGCCCGTGTGCGTGCCCTCCTGCCAGCCCTCCTGCCCCACCCTGGTCTGCAGGCCCGTCTGCTCCAGCTCCCCGTGCTGCCTCTGACCACGCGTCTCCTGCCGGCTGCTCTGGGCAGAGGGGGCCGCGCCGGTGCCCTTCCTGGACCACGTCTTCACAGCGCCCCCGGTTCTGCACGTGGCAGGTGGGAAACCTTCCTGATGAGTCGTCTGAGCCCCGGGGCGAGGACGTAGCAGGACGATCCTGAGCCCTCTGTGACCCTGCGTGTCTCCTCCAGGAAGCCCTGGTGCCCAGGCCCTCCTCTGTCCCCAGCAGGGAACCAAGCCCGTGTGAGCCAATAAACCGTGCCGCCCGGCTCTCTAGTCCTGTCTCTGCTTCTGGTTCCCGCCCACGAGTCCGTGCGATGGGCGGGGAGGGTAAGCGGGGAGGGTAGGCGGGGAGGGTAGCTGGGCTCCCTGTGGAGGGAGTGGCTGTGGCCCCGGGGCCCCTGCTCCGTGGCCCGGTGCGTGTGGCCGCTGCCAGCGACTCACCCTTTTCCGGGGCTGCTCCTGCCTCCCCGGCTGTCGGGTCCTGCCTCGGGCGTGGGGACCCACCTCCCCCGTTGCATCAGGACGCAGCCCATGTCCTGTGTCCCCAGTCATGGAAAGTTGAGTGCAGTGCGAACCTGGAGCTCTTTTACGCCTTAGGTCTGGGGACTGGATCAGTCCTGGGGCTCAGCTCATGGTTCACTTCTCTCGCTGGTCCACATGTGACCCACTTTTAATTGATTGATGATCAGTTATTATTGTAATAAACCCCACGAACCTACTACCTAACGTGGAAACCAGAACACCGTCAGTAATTCAGCCCGGGCTCCTCAGGGAAACCACGTTAGAATAGTGTGCTCTTTGCTACCTGCTGCAAAGGAGAGTGGGGTCACCTCCCTGCGCACCCCTGAAACACGCACTTTCATGCAGGCCCTGGGGGATGTGGGAGGGTAGCGAGCACCCTGTATTCCTGGACTGGAACCCACTCTTTTCACTCTGTGCAGCGTCGCTAGGATTTCTCGCAGGTCCTATGTCCTGCGTCCTCTTGACCCCTCCCGCCTGTTCTATGCTGGGGTGGCTCCGGGTCACACCAGGTGGGCGGCTGTGGGTGCCCAGGGGACGGGGGATGGGAGGGCCTGGCCGTGGGCTGTCCTTGCCCTCCTGTGGCACCTGTGGCCTTTCCATCTGGGGCAGGAGACCGCGCGTCCCCGGTAAGGCGCTCTGTCGCTCTGTCGGTCAGGCAGCGTCCCAGGCTGCTGGGCAGGAGCACGGGAGCTGATCGCCCCGGGGACATGCGTCTGCCGCCAGCCCCAGGCAGCAGAGGGGAGGCGGGCACTGGTTCCCACCTTCTCTCCGAAGCCACCGCACCCCCACGCCTGGATTCTGGGGCTTGTTTCGTGATGAATTTTCTGAGTCGGAGAGGTGGGCGCGTTTGAGACCCGCCAGCAGCGTAGTCTGCCCCCTCCTCCCCCCCAAGCTTTGCTCCCAGCTGAGATGGAGAGGCCTGCCCTGCAGAGCGGAGCCCGGCTGCTCCCCTGCCCCGGGGTGGCCTCCAGAGCCTCAGTCTTTCCCTCCCACCCAGCTCTCCAGTGACTGGAAGTCCCAGGGGAGACCTGGATCCTCCCCAGCCCCACCCGCAGGCCCGCTGTGCCTGAGACCCCTGAGGAGGCCAGTGCGCGCTGGGAGGCAGGGCAGCTCTCCGGACCTGGCTCTTGTTTTTGTTTTTAATTTTAGTTAACATGCAGTGAAATATTGGTTTCAGGAGTAGAATTCTGTAATTCATCCCTTACATACAACACCGTGCTCATCCCGGCAAGTGCCTCCTCAGTGCCCTCCTCCATTTAGTCCATCCCCCCACCTCCCTCCAGCAACCTCAGTTTGGTCTCTGTCATTAAAAGTCTCTTGTGGAGGCCTGGGGGGCTCAGTCAGTTAAGCGTCCGACTTCCACTCAGGTCATGATCTCACAGCTCGTGAGTTCGAGCCCTGCGTCGGGCTCTGCGCTGACAGCTCGGAGCCTGGAGCTGCTTCCCATTCTGTGTCTCCCTCTCTCTCTGCCCCTCCCCTGCTTGTGCTCTGTCTCTCTCTGTCTCTCAAAAATGAATAAATGTTGAAAAAAATTTTTTAAAGAATCTCTTGTGGTTTGTTTCCCTCTTTTCACTCCCTTCCCCTCTGTTCATCTGTTCTGTTTCTTAAATTCCACACATGAGTGAAATCATACAGTATTTGTCTTTCTCTGACTGACTTATTTCACTTTGCATAACACACTCCCTCCACTTCCATCCACGTTGTTGCAAATGGCAAGACTTCATTCTTTTTCATCGCTGAGTCGTATTCCATTGTAAATATGCACCACATCTTCTGTATCCATTCATCTGTCAATGGACGTTGGGACTCCTTCCATAATTTGGCTGTTGTCAATAGCACTGCTATAAACATCGGGATGTGTGTGCCCTTTTGAATCAGCATTTTTGTATCTTTTGGGTAAATACTCAGTAGTGTAATTATGGGGTCGTAGGGTAGTTCTATTTTGAATTTTTTAAGGAACCTCAATACTGTTTTCGAGAGGGCTGCACCATTTGCATTCCCACCAACAGTGCAAGAGGGTCTCCTTTCTCCGCATCCTCACCAACACCTGTTGTTGCCTCAGTTGTTAACGTTAGCCACTCTGACAGGTGTGAGGGGGTATCTCACTGTGGTTTTGATTTGTGTTTCCCTGATGATGAGTGATGTTGAGCATCTTTTCATGTGTCTGTTGGCCATCTGGATGTCTTCTTTGGAGAAGTGTCTGTTCATGTCTTTTACCCATTTCTTCACTGGATTATTTGTCATTTGGGTGTTGAGTTTGATAAGTTCTTTATAGATTTTGATACTAACCCTTTATCTGACTGCAAATATCTTCTCCCATTCTGTTGGCTGCCTTTTAATTTTGCTGATTGTTTCCTTTACTGTGCAGAAGCTTTTTATCTTGATGAGGTCCCAATAGTTCACTTTTGCTTTTATTTCCCTTGCCTCTGGAGATGTGTCAAGTGAGAAGTTGCTGCAGGTCAGGTCAAAGAGGTTGCTGCTATTTTTTCCTTTAGAATTTTGATTGTTACCTGTCTCATAGTTAGGTCTTTCACCCATTTTCAGTTTATTTTTTGTGTATGGTATAAGAAAGTGGTCCAAGTTCATTTTTCTGCATGTCGCTGTCCAGTTTTCCCAGCACCACTTGCTGAAGAGACTGTCTTTATTCCATTGGATATTCTTTCCTGCTTTGTCAGAGATTCGTTGGCCATAGATTTGTGGGTCCATTTCTGGGTTCTCTAATCTGTTCCATTGATCTGAGTGTCTGTTGTTGTGCCAATACCACACTGTCTTGATGCTGACAGCTGTGTAGTCCATCCTGAAGTCCGTGATCGTGATGCCTCCAGCTTTGCTTTTCTTTATCAGGATTCCTTGGATAATCAGGGTCTTCCCTGGTTCCAGCGGGTGTGGCTCTCGAGTCCTGGAGGCACCAGTCCTTCCACGGACAGTCTCACTACTGTCTGTCTGGGATTTCCAGCCCCTTTATTCTTCCCTGGAGGCAGGTGCTGAGCTTAGAGCTGCTTTTATGAACTTATAGCTGCAAGGCCTATTGCATTGTTTGACTTTGGGCGACTTTAGTAAACTGAGCCAGAAATGGAGCCAGTAGACTTGGATGTGTGTATACATTCCCCCACATTCTTGCATATGTCCTATGTACACGCACACATACTGTATATGTGCACATCGTGCACACACAAGTATACACACACACACACACACACACACACACACACATGCACACACATGCACACACATGCATGAGGCATCTGGTCTCCACAACCGGCAGGAGGTGAAACCCCACAGAGTAGAGATGGGATGTGGATAGCGACATAACACCCCCACCTGCCCCCCTAGAAGCTACCCACCCCCAGAGGCCCCACTCAGCCTGCCCAGGGCCTATGGGGCCTTCAGGGCCTCGGAACCTCTGCTCTGTGGTGCTGGTTTTCCACAGCGTGCACGTCTTGGGAACGAGGTTTTAGAACATGAGAAACCAAAGAGGAGAATGAAAATCTGATAAATGTATTAATTAGGAAAAGGTCCCCCAAGAAGGGGCAGTTTGTAGGCTCCAGGCTCTGAGCTGTCAGCACAGAGCCTGATATGGGGCTTGAACCCAAAACCTGAAAGATCATGATCTGAGCAGAAGTTGGACACTCAATCGACTGAGCCACCCAGGTGCCCCCTAAGTCAGTTTCTGTAAGGGTTAAAGGTAATTCAAGTTCTAAGTGGTTCACTTGGGAAAGTTCTATTATTTTTAGAGAATTCTTTGGGATTAAGTTGTTCATAATAGCCATTGCTTATTAAAAATTTTCCATTATATCTGTAGTCCTGTTGCATCTTTTATCACTAATTTCCTCATAGTCTTTATCTGTGCCTTCTCATTTATTCCACTGGCCAGTCTTGTCAAATAGTTGTTTTTTCATAGAATATCCTTGGCTTTGTTGATCTGTGTGGTGTGATTGTTTTCTATATCATTAATTTCTGACTATGATTTTTGCTATTTCTATACTGAATCACTTTAACAACATATCCGTGACACTCTCCGTAGACAGCCTTCAGAAAACTGAGGACAAATGCTTTCAGTAGGGTGTAGAGCGGAACAAAGCCAACAGGGAAATCTCAGCCCCCTGTTATACAGCAATGATAAATTCCAATTTCTGACCTGTTACGGCTGAGTGTCATTCATTGTGGCAGAAACCAGTTTATTTGATCTTGTTGAAATTCTTTGTTGACAGATGTAAAGAAGTCAATGTATATCCACCACGAACTCAGTTTTTAGGTCATGATGAAGTATATAAACATAATGTTTAACCTGAAAATAAAATACATGACATCTTATCATGTACTGGGAGGTCTCTGAGACAGAACTGTGTACTGTGTCTCATCTAAAACTAAAGAAAAGTATTTGCAACTTGTAGAATTCTGAATAAATTGACGATTGATTTTATGTTTCTGGTTGCCTCTGTCACATCTGAGGAAAGCGTGTCACAGTCTCCCTGTGACAGGGGCTGTCGCTCCTCCTTGGAATGCACCAGATGTTGACAGTTGAGGCTA